TAGGTAGAACACACCCACCTCAGGCCCACAATAGTTGGGGCTGAGGTAAGCAAATTTATGCCGACCGCCGCACGAGAGCGCATACGCGTGACGATATTGAGCATGGATAGCTGTTCTAGCTGGGCACGGCACAACATTCCGTAATAATGGCTAAGAAACCCCCGTCTTAGGTGGTGTTCTTTTTGGCCTTTTTTTCATTCTGGTTTACGAAATCGTTGGAAAAAAAATCGGCGTCGTTGTGTTCGTCGTCAATCAATAGAAAAAAATTCAAAACTAGTAAGCTTAAAATAGTAAAATAATGGAGCTCTCCTTTCGCCCACTACTGGGTCCGCCACTGAACTCATAGGGTAAGGTACACTTCCTTTTCTTCTCTCTTTCCTCCCTTCTAATCTTCTAATTCTTTTTCTCCCCCTTGGTTTATTTTTTACGGGAGGGAAGGGGGCACGGCTCCCGCTGGATCCGCCGCTGCATCATCTGTATCACCCACTAATGTAACAATCAACTAATGTATCACCCACTAATCGCTATCTACAAAAATTTGCCTGCGCCACCCTTGTACCATCGCCAATATGGAATCGTCAACCTTGTGACAACGTCAAACTCGTACTAATGATATCTCATAGCATCGCCAAACTTTTATAGCATTGCATCAGCATCGTCAACAATATATATATAACAACATATTCAACGACAACGTCGACAACATCATCAAAAGCATATCAAAGGAATGGTCGACAGCATCAACAACATCGTCGACAGCATCGTTAAGAACATCATCGTAAACGTTAATAGTGTGTCGTGTGCTCTATATCGTCACGTTGCGGCCTAGGACATCATGTCTCCACAATGAGATTTCCTGGCGTGGCCTTTCACCCTTCCTTTGATTGGCTGGCCTACCTCATTATTTCACTCGAAGAATACAGTATTAGTCGAAAATAATTTTAGGATACATTGATAAACATACAACAACGTAATTTTTCTTAGTAAAGGAAAAAAATGCAACAAAATAGATTTAGAAATAGATAGAAATCGCATCAAGCACGTCTATCATAACATTTTCTTGGTGCAACAATTGAAGAACAATTAAAATTGGAAAAATCATATAAAACAAGCTTGCCATAAGACTCACCAACAATTGGACTCTTTGGTAGACTAAGGCATTTCCTTCCTAATGCACCTTTACTTACCATTTACAAATCACTTGTCCTCATTTTTAACTATTATGCTTTTGTCTGGGGAAATACCCACAAAATATCATTAAATGTAATATTGAAGTTACAAAAAAAAAAGCTATGCGCATTGTCAATGGAAGTCATGAAAATGCACATGCTCTCCAACGTTTGAGACATGCTCACTGCCTAACTGCCTCTGATATTTGCAAAAATACAAAACTTAAATGTTCACCTATAAATCACTGAATAGAATTTTACCTTCGCATTTCAATGATTATTTCCCATTGTGTGCTAACACTTGTAATATACGAAGTGTAACAAAATTGTGTATCTACAAACCGATATTCAGAACAGGACTAAGACAACATATTGTTCGATGGATTAGCCATGGACAGGTGGACAATGAACAATATAAGCAAGTTTCAAGCATTTCACTATTTATTTATTTTTGATTGTATATTAAAGTCATATGTCTAAACTAAATAAATATAAAAATAAGTAAAACATATATACATATAAGAGTTGACATCAAAATGATGATGAGCTGCACGTACGTTCAAAAAAGGTATAAAATGTGAGTCAAGTACGAAAATAAATGACAGAGGTTGACGGTTACAGAACATAAAATATATATTATTTAATTAAAAAACGTATATTGAGGACTTCTTCAGCGTTAATGAAATGTACAGAACTATTGGCATCATATAAACATAGCAAGCATAAAGGTGACTAGTTAGAGCCGGAGCATAACCCGGTTAAAAGTCGAATGAATGTATATATGTATATACAAAAGCTTGTGATCTTTAGGCCCCCATACAATTTCAAAAATTTACTTAAAAAACCATACGTGAACACACAAAATTACAAAATAAAAAAGATCTTGATGCTGATGTTGCATGGAGTCGGCACTGGGGCCTTTCAATGCCTCCAAATGTAAATGAATGTCTGTTTCTCTTAAATTAAAACCTTTATATTTTCCTTAAAGAATTGGCGATATTGTTTTAGAAAACGTTTCTGTACATCGCGATTTACGTGTCTTCATTGACTGTAAGTTTACATTTTGTAAATTTGTAAGGGAAACAGAATGCTTGGGTTTATTTGGAGACATTGCAGAGAAATAAATAGCCCTGGTGCCATTATTCATGCCTTATATCGTCATTTAGTTACTTCGAAATTTGAATATTACTGTGTTATTTTTAGTTCTGCTTCTGAATCCCAGTTAATTCGCATCGATAGGATGTATCTTAAGTTTATTAGGTTTTTGTGTCCTAGGAATAGATTTTTATTTCACGATATGGTTTTCTCTATAAATGTAAAAATTCGTATTTCAGTTGTGATCTTATATATCTGTTTGGTTTTCATGTTAATTCTAGAAGCCTTCGTTCCTGCCCTACCTTTAATCTCCCCTTTGTAGAGTTTCTGTAAAAGTAGTTTTATTTCTAGACTTACTTTACAATATAATTCTCTTATTTTAACCACTAATATTGACATTTTTCACAATAGTTTGTCTATATTTCGTTCTATTATAATTAATCATTTGAATAGGTGGGATTTTTGTACACTTTTACTTTCGTCAATATATTTGATATATTTAAGTTTTATATATTTTACCAGCCTGTTAGTGGCGATGATTCGCTGTTGGTCTGTTGAAATGTAATTCTCATTACTCATTACATACACTTAAGTTTAAGAGTTTCACTACAGTATTTCTTGAAACACTGCGTTGTACGCCGTTGCTTTGTATCAAAGAATAATTTAATGTAGGCATATACGTTGGAATAATCGGCGTTTGCCTACATTGTGTTAGTATTAATATTGGTGAATTTGTTAGACGAATCGGTGAAAATTAATAAAAATATTTAAAATTTGAGATGATTTTGAAAACAAATTTATATACAAGAGGTTCTCAGTGAACTTACTTTAGAACAAATACAAGACAAATCCGAAGCTCCCTTACTTAATTTGGGGACATTTACTCACGGTTATTTCCACAATGAAAGCAGAAAAAAGAGCCTGTAGTCTTGGGCATCTATTGGCACTCATCATAGCACACATCAATCAGCACGTCTTTTCTTTTTTATTTTTACACACTCGTCCCTGTTTTTAGCAGCCCCTGTGCGGCGTCTGCTTATGTTGTCGGTAGGCGAAAAAGTAAAGTAATTTTATATAAGCTCTACGATTAGTCGTCTGATTTCAGTTACATAAAATAATAGCAGGCCGTACCGGTATAATAAATTAATCAACACTCTTAATTTAAACTGATGATTGGCGTTAAACAATGGTACCGTACAACGGGAAACTCATTAGACAGTTTGCCTGCTCATTATATGTTTAATGAATACATCCTTGTTTAATGTTAATACATACAGTAAACGCACACCAACCATTGACGTAGGGCTGGGGTATCTAAAGAGGTACTGCCTTATATAGTATATCTTCTGGAAAATATATGCATGTAAGATTATATATAACATGCCCAGCACGAAATAAAGCCTAATATTGTCACTGTAGGCATAATAATTAATACCAAAACTAGTTTATAACCTACGTAATTAGTTTTTAGCTATGGAGAATATGGCACCGCAATTTGCTGTATTCATTTTTCGAAATAAAAGATGAAATGTTATGAAAAGAAAAAAAAAAAGAATTGCTCCTTCTTCGACATTTAGGTGTACGCCTACATCATCATAGGCCTGATTGGACCAGACGCAGGACTACAATCCCGATAAGTGTATCGGATGATGCTTCCTACTATACTGATATAAAAAAATAATTGAAGCAGTGCCACGACTCCAAACTTTGCACGCATATTGTGAGCCAATATTTGGAGGATTGGAACATTATTTACAAGGAAGAAAATGTACCGTGACATTTTATGTTAATTATGTTCTTGTAGGTAGGAAGGCTAGTCAGAGAGCGCTCGACATATGATCATTACCGCCAAATTGTACGACTGAAAAAAAATCAATTAATATGCAGCTTTATCCTATGAAACTTCATAGGCCTATTCGCGTCTGCGCACAACGGTCATGAATTATGAAGCGCCAATTACCATGTCAAAGTGTCACCGTTGTTATGGTGGTGATTCATTAATAATTCATTAGAACACCGTGAAACGTAGCGCTAATATGACAGATAAATACAAAAAGTATTTAAAATATCGATGTTCCTTTTCACTAACTTAAAAATTGTCATTGTTTGTATGATTAGCAATCATTCTTCCATGAATCCAGAATATATTTAATTAAGTTAAGAAATATATAGACAAATATAACCTTCCGTTCAAATCTTTAAAGCAATTTAGTAATCGTATGTAGGATATTTGTAAGGTGGTGATAAAAGAATATGTGGTTGAAACGCCGGTATGAAATTTTAAGACACCTGGAAAAACTGTGTTTTGCAGGTGTAAATGTCGGGTTAGCTTAGTACAGTTTGTGTAACCAGGCATAAGTAATAAGTAGGTATGATGATTATATATTATTTGCTATATATAAAAATCAAAATACATTATAGGATTGTATATTTAAGGGAAGACGCGTGTTTCATTAATATGATTTAAGACTAAGCAAATCTGAAAATAAGAACCATTTAAGAGTATCCAGCATGTTATCAACCGTGTAATATTGCAAGCTAGCGTCAATGAGATGAGAAATGATATTGGACAGACGGCTCAGTTGAATGCATCTGCTAAAGCATAATAATATTCCCGCATTGATAAGCTGCAACATCGGCCAGATGCTAGATCAACGTATGCATACACGCCTAAGCCTAGCTAGTCTTAATCAACAGCTGCATGATAAAATTCGCTCAGGTTAAAATATTACTTACCATCATTGTGGTAAAACCAATGGATCTCTTTTCCATCAGTTAGCTCCGTCGCCATATTTACAAACAATTTATGTGCGAGTTAATTTGTGAGCAATTACCATATGCACTGCCGCCGGTTGTATAAGCCCGTGATAACAATGATAATTATGAATTTTTACGACGGTGGTTTGCGGATACACATCAAATTTCATCAAACGGCTTCCTTTTGCAAAGAGATGTTAATATTATGAATTAGTTCCTCCTATTGTTATTTATATAATGTCAAGTAAATGCTGCTAGCTGATTTATAATATAAATATTAGTGTACACGTTGTGCTTGTGATGACTGACGTGACAGAGGTTGCTCGGGCAGACAAGCCCATTGGGCCTTAATTGCAATTTAGCATAATTCTTCAGAAGAATAATGTTCCATTATGGATTATGTAATGGGCCTTATGATAATTTTCCCCGCCGCTACAAACATTAAGCCGGCACTTGCAAGATCTTGAGGTTTGTTTAGGAGGTTGGAGGCACTGTTTTTGACAGTCAATATATTTTTAATTTGTTTTAATATATTAGATTCCAAAAAATCAAAATAAATGGTGTACCCGGAATCCAGCCTGAGCGACTTGTGATCCTAGGTACCGTACTACATATTATACTATTTCTGTTAATCACCTCCGCGTAACTTCACCTATCCCTTTTGTAAAAGCTGGCAGGAATGTGCTCATCACTGGGGATTCTACATGTGACGAACACGGCAGGCTACTTTTCTAGGCTGCATATTGGATGACAACGAAAAAAAACCCAGCAAAATCCACCCAAAATGAGTACTTCCATGGCCATGTTTACCGAGCTGTTTACGTCACATAAAATCTACAATTTCCGATCACTTTGTACCGTAGTGTACAGAATATATAATATTAATAATAATAATAATAATAATAATAATAATAATAATAATAATAATAATAATAATAATAATAATAATAACATATTTATACAGGATTTCACAGTCAAGTATAAACCTGTTTTTCTCTGTAGTCCTATCACAGTAAAGTAATACAATACGATACATCAGGAAAATACATAATACTTATACCTAGACTTCAATGAGTTAATTGAGAACGAGTGTTTGATATCAGCTGGTAGTTTGTTCCAGACTTTAGCGCCAGCTATCTGAAAAAAAATCGTTTATACTTAATGTATATTGGGGCGAAATAACATTAATATTCTTTACTTCTCGTGTTGAGTGGGTATGTCTTTCACTAACAAGTTCAATTTCATTTATCAATCTCTGCCACAAGCCGCCAAATAAACAGTCGCATCACATCGGGCCATGTTTCGTGAGTTTTCCTATCCCTACAGTTTTGTGACACAGTGCTCAGATCTAGAAAATATCGTGCAAGACCAAGAAATAAACAGTCGGATCGCCTCGGGCATATACTACTAGGGACAAGGCATGATATAGGCTTGACCTAACAATATTAATAATTTTGTCTACCGTACTAGTCTTATAATTAGGCTGGCCTATAAATAGCTAGCTAGCCCCCACTCCTCCTACCTCTCTATTTCAAATTCCTAGATATGCCACTCCAATAACACAAGAGACAGCAAACACTGTCAAAAGATACGTTAAACAAAGATGATTTTATATTATTATTCACAAATACAGTAGTTGGATATTCTGAAGATAAGCTATCGAATAATGTGATTTTGTTAAAGTAAATTTTACACTATTTTAGTCCTACTGGGATGAGAAAAGTGCGTTTTCGACGCCATAGCCTTCAACACCAGAGGTCGAAACGAGCCATACCTATTCTTTTCTAATAAAAGGCTATAAATTGTTCATGAGGTTGTGTTAATAGCGAAACTGAAGATCAGGGTGGAGTCAGCTCCACCAACCAACCAATCAACTCCTCAAATTTACGTATATCTATCGGGACATTATTCACGGCATATTATTCACGCAAAACATTGATTACTAAGAGGTCCTTTAGAAAAAAAATGACAATTTAACTATAACATCCTCAATGATTGCCTCCTTAACTTCCCATAACTATGCACTGCTTCGCCACCTTTTCACACTCACTTAACACCGTAAGGAGCACGGGCATATATGCTAGTTATTATTACTACATTGTGATGCAAAATTTCTATGGATTTAAAGTGAAATAAATAATCTTAAATACCTTATATTATACATTCGAACAATACAACAAAACGTAAAGTTATAATTAAAACACCCGCTCCCCCATTTAGCAGGACAGTCGCCATCAACGTTGGGAACAGTTTCTGAACCTTTTCCCACATTTTAAATGATACGGTACTGCCTCAACAAGCTATCCAGCAAATACAGTACACAGTAAAGGTCAGCTATATCTGTATTGGCAATATGGTTGAAATATTCAATGCAAATCTCGCAACAGAGCCTAATCCCAAAGACTGTAATTGCCAACCGAAATCTAATTACCCAGTTACAAGGATTTGTAATAAGCTTAGCAATACCAGAGAGTATAGAATTGTAATGTTTCCGTCTTGCCCTGTTTTTGTATGCACGTAATAAAACATTAAAAAAAGCACTACTACGAGATAGGGGCCGCCCTATCTACGAACACCTTTTGCGTTCTTTTGAAGGACGCCGTCTATAGTTCGTGATATTACTTTATTTGAGATAGGATTACTTTCCAACGAAACCTCTTGCAGTTTATATACTCTTTGTTAATAACATAACACATACAGCACAACCAATAAAGAGTTGAAATAAAGTTTCAACAACCACACCATGTCGTTCCGATCACCAAAACATTGCCTACAAACTGAATTATCAAAATACATATGAAACTTCAAGATATAAATACATAAAAATTCACTTCAATATCATTAAACATGCAAGAGCAACTATAACATATAAAAACGTTGAAATCTATGCATATTTGAATGTATATATGTCTATATATCTAAATTGAGTGTATATATATTAAAACATGTGGATATATATATATATATATATATATATACACACACACCCACCCCTCCACACACACATA